CAGGGCATGTAGTTTAATTGACCGTAGAAGTGAAAAATGTCCAGTATCTAGCTAAACACATGCTGCTAATGTACCATTTTTGTTTCTGAGGCTTCCCACACATGTTCTGGTCCTGCTGACTTCATTTATTTAAAAAATATATCAAGCAGATGAAGGTGAAGGGCATAACAACCCAGGTGGTACGATCTGGCATATTTCGCTAAATGTCTCAAATTTGCTGACCTTTGAGCGCCGCTTACACCCCCAAAGTGTCCAAAGAGGTACCCTAATATGTTGATTATCTCAATCAGGACATCCCTACCCATGAATTAATACAGTCCAAAGGGCAAATTTTCGGAATTTCATTTACTCGGGAGCTACCTTGAGGTTTTTTATTTTATTTTTATATTTTTATCACGTCGTTCTGCAAATGTGATTTTTATTTGGACAGTTCCAATAGTATACAGCAGTTGAGGGACTTGAAGATCCGTTGCCTAATTCTCATCATTATACTTCATCAAATTCACATTCTTTACTTGTAGTGCTCCCTTATTCAATTTGTTTCGTCTTCTCTTTTGGGCCTTCTTCTTAAATATATTTTTCTATTTCTCTTAGGCCACACGTTTTTATTTCTATGTTTCTCGTCACCCGCGCGCGTACGACTCAGGAGTCTGGAGGAAAAAAAGAAAAAAATATGCTGCACTGACTGTGCATGTGGGGACCAGCACGCTCATGCACATGTACATATTGTGGCCTGGCCTGCGCGACACATGATGCGAGGTTGCCATTTTTTGTGCGCAATCTAGCTGCACATGCACAGATTGTGACAGAAGCTCCTACCACATACTTGTGCTAACTATGGATGCTATTTTGCATGGTGTATTGGTGGATTTGAGTGTGAACAAAGATCTAATAAACTTTTTTTTTATTTCGGTCATTTTTTATTTTTTTCCACCTCTCGCATGCGTTTTTAGACTTTCAGGTGACGAGAAACATAGAAATAAAAACGTGTGGCCTTATCAGTATTGTAATTGTTGGACAAAACAGATAACTTGTAAACTTATGGTCCTCTCTTTTTTAATTCTTATCAGTATCTTCATCATTTTTGCGAGAACTGTGGCAATACGCCCAGTGAGAAGGCAGATTTTGACTGTGCTTATGGTGAAGTAAAAAAATAAAAAAAGCTAAACAAGCGAAAGGGAAAAAGTCTGAGGACAAAACTTGACTGTCGCCGCCAAGACTCGACGCAGGGACCTTCGCTAGCAAAGGTTAGCAATGCTCTACCACTGAGCTATGGTCCTCGTAGCAGGATGTTTTCTTCTTCTATTGTGCCTGATACACAGGGGCGTAGGCAGGGGGGGGGGGGAGGAGCTTTGGGTGGCAAAGCACCCCCCCCCCCCCCATCAAAAAGCATTTCTTTGATGCTGGCCCTGCAATAACACCTTTCAGTACATCGTAATTCCAGAATGAGTTTTGTCATTACCGGTACAGTGATACCGGAAATGTGAATTCTGTTCAGTCAATACAAGCCCATGCGCTTATATGTGAGGGGCGCGCTTATATCCGGATATAGGCCCGTGCGCTTCTATGCGCTTGAATACGGTACTAGCTGTCCCCAGTAGTTGTAAAAATGGCCTGTACATTTGTGTGCGCTAAACTTGCACCCTGAGCAAGGTTAATGCAAACACTGCGGATAAAATAATTTGTGCCCTCCATTTTGGGAAGTGCACTGTTCAGAACGTTGGACAAAACCATCAAAATAATCATAAAAAGCCCAACCTCTGACCCGGTGATGCTTGTGATTCATTGTAGCTTCAGTTCTTTATAGTTCCGGTGACTCCTAGCCAATATGAGATTATGGTGAATGGCAAATGAAATGGAGAATAGAAAATCCATTTTTTTCTTTGTCATACACGAAGGGATGGATGTTTTGAGTTTGCTGTTTTTTAAATATTTTTTAAAAATATTTTTAAACACATTTCTCAAAATGCGAAGACTCCACTGTAGCCATCCATTATATCCATACATCTTCACAACACTCTACAAACGGTCTCTGGGATACACCAATCACTAAAAGAAAAAGAGATATTATTAACCCGTTCCATGCCGGGGCCCCTTTTCTCCAATCGGCCGGCTGTCCAGTGCACTGACTCTCTTGGTGTAGTTTGCGCGCACAGCTCTGAATGGAATTTATTCTCATTTCACTCCACCATGATGGATTTTCATCATCCTGGGCTCGTTGGAAAGATCAGGACCAAGCGAATCCATCATGGTAGATCTCAGCAACATAGACACACCAGGGCCACTTCCACCTCCTCTCCGAACTACTCCACCGTGCCTCGGAACGGCACAACAACTCAATCTCACGTTCTTGTTCGGCATCTTGCCCAAATTCAACCGATTTTCACGATTCGAACTGCGCTGCAAAGCTGAGATCCAAGCGCTTCATTTGATGTCCATCACGCATGCATCGTGCCAAAGGGAAATCCCCTAGCACGCTCCAAAAAACTGCGAAGTCATGAACAAAAAAATTCGTGTTCACTCCGGCCCGTGATTTTGGTGTTCATCCTGTCGCCGCTCAGTGATTCTTTATCCCATCGCGACGAACGTTATATCCACGGAAAGATGAGCTCAAGACCTTTCCAACAGTGTATTGATTGTCGCGATGCGTTTATGTTTCACAGAGTTACGATAGTTTGTACACTGGTCTATGCACTGCAATGTAACGTGCGCACTACGAGGACGAGATATCTCGTCCTTGGCCAATCGCGTGGGGGTCTGTAGGACGAGTTATCTCGTCCTTGGCACTGAAAGAGTTAATCTTTATTTTTAATAAGAATGGCGTAACTCCTCTGTAGCCTTGTCATGATTTTTAAATTTTTACCGCCGTTTTATTTTTATTAGTGCAATTTAGGGGGCGTTCGTTTTTGATCTACAGGTTTGGGTAGAAACTACTTCTTACGGTAGAGGTGTTCGTTTTTTGAAAAAAAATTCTACTCAAAAGGGTAGATTCTACTTTCCTCTACCGGCTCTACCGGGAAAAAGTTGGTAGAAACCGGTAGAAGTTGGTAGAGCTACGGGATTTCCAGCAAGATCGAGGATTTGTACACAACTCCATAAAAAAAAGAAACATTTCACGTACACATCGTGTAAACTACTAGATCTGGTAGAACAGCGTTCGTACACTTGCCTCTACCATCTACCTCTATCGGTAGAGTGACTCTACTCTACTCTACCAGGTAGCTAAAAACGAACGCAGCCTAAGAGTATAATAGATGCAGACATGGCCAGACAACAACGAGTTCATGGAATTTTTAAGGATTTTTATGTTATTCAAAATTGATTTTTGTGTTCCGCTCATCAGTGAATAGTATCGGAACTGAGGGTACTGTGTACAAAAATAGAACATTTTATAACAGCTTAGAATCAACTCGTAAAAACTCCAAGTCAATCTCCCATTGACACAAACCTCGTTTATTGAACATAATCATATCCTATCCAATAAAAACAGTTCATAAAAACAGTTCATAAAAACAGCTTTTTAGGATCGGACCCAATCCGCATAACCAAGAGAGCTAGCTCCCTTGGCTGCTGTTGGAATATGCAAGAATGGGCCTTCCAGATAAGGTCTAACAAGGAGCAGTGGCTATAGTTATGAAATGAACACCGGTAACCATGGAGACAGACCACACTCTCATTATAGATACTGGTTATAAATAGACCGAATAAGGAAAATGATCTGATAGCCTATGAAGACTAAAAGAAATTGAACCAATGACAACAAATACTCGTCCAGCACACGGGTTGTCATAGCAACACAAATAACAGCTGTCCGCTAATTTTGTTGTTGGAGATTGAGTAGGTGTTTTTACTGGTTGATTCTAAATACAATAAATGCTCCGGCCTTGGGTTTATGACCAATAAAAACTATTATAAAAACCTCGGGGGACCTCGGTTTTTATAATAGTTTTTATTGGTCATAAACCCTCGGCCTCCTCATTTATTGTATACATAATTAAAAGTGTGAACAAAAAAGGAAGTGCTACAGCATTACATAATAGGTGTCAAACATAGTGCTAACATATATAACTGAGTGCAGGCACAAAGCATGAGGTGATACAGTGCAACATGACACAACATTTACATCTGATAACCAGCTACGAGAACAACTTTAGCGCGACTACATGCTTCTTTTGTTTACAAAGAACAGGATTATGCACACGAATTTTATTTTTACTTTGTTTTATTTCGCATATCAAAACGGGATTTTCTTCCCAATAACAAGTTCTTGTTCATGATGATAGTCATGGTGTTGTTGTTGTTGTTGGTTTCATTATTATCCAGTCAAAACCATCCGCTAGCACAGTCACTCCACTGTTAATCTGATGCGAACACATTCTCAAAGTCTGTTGTCGTCGGTTTCGAAAGTCGGCGAGGAGACGAAAATCCCATAATTGATGGAAAACATGTGTACGCATTCATACCGCGACACCAGTGGAACAATAAGTACGGATCCAGTCGTCCCTCTTTAATCCAGCACTTTATAAACCAGTACCATCTATAAATTAGCGCAAAACCAGTAGCCAAAATGTCCTCTTCATGCACACTGCGGCAGTAAATCAGATTTGTTACTCCGGCACCCTCTCTAATCCAGCGCCCTCCCTAATCCGGCGCCCTCCCTAATCCGGCACCCTCCCTAATCCAGCACCCTCCCTAATCCAGCACCCTCACTAATCCAGTACCCTCCCTAATCCGGCACCCTCCCTAATCCAGCACCCTCCCTAATCCAGCACCCTCCCTAATCCAGCACCCTCCCTAATCCAGCACCCTCCCTAATCCAGCACCCTCCCTAATCCAGCACCCTCCCTAATCCAGCACCCTCACTAATCCAGCACCCTCCCTAATCCAGCACCCTCCCTAATCCAGCAGAATTTCCGTAGCACAAATGCTGCCGGATTATCAAGGGACCACTGTACTAACGTGTTTTTGTTGTTGTTTTTTTTGTCGGTTTCATTATGCAGCTGGACCTCTGCACTTGCGCCTGGCGGTTCTCTCTCACCTGTGCCGCCGAGCCGCACAGATGCAGGCCGCGCAGGATATACCGCTGCGCGAGGACGTGATGCGTTTCTTCAGCGTTGGCCACGACGTGGTCGGCCGCCAATACATCTTTGCTTGTAACATGATGTTTGTGTAAGCACCGTTGCCTGCAATATGTTGTTTGAGGAAGTGTGCCCCCTGTTCACATCTGTTAACGCTTTCCGGGTTTATGACGAGTATACTCGTCATTCAGACCCCATCGCGTCTGGGCATTGACGAGTATACTCGCGCTATACTTGTTGTACAGTGCACATACCGTACGCACTGATAGATCACTGCACAAACAGACGTAACTCTGGAAAGGAGTATCGCATCGCCATGATCAATAGCTCATTGGAACGGTCTTGGAAAGGGCTTTCCAGAGGTGTTTCATGTGGAGGTAGCTCAACAAATGATCGAGCAGCGATTGAACATGCGGTTTCGATCTCAACGTTTTTCTTACTTTTTGTCCGGCGATTTTTTGCGACTTTCAAGGCATTCAAGGTGATTTCCCAATGGCGTGTCAAAGGCACCATGATGTTTGAAACCATCGTTTGAATCGCTTGAATCTCACGAGTTCGGTGCAGTTTGAATCGTAGTTCTACGTTGAGTATGAGCCCCAAACCGAAGGAAATAGTTGTGCGTGGTCTTGATGCCAAACTGGAGCACGATAGGGACACTGTTGGCGAGGCTAGGGGGTGTCCTTGAGGTGCTGTATGCTCTGACAGTACGTGGAAGGTGACGAGCAGGAAAAGAGCTTTCCAGTAAGCCATAAATTGTGAAAATCTGTTGAGAAACAAAAATGTTGTGACAATTTGTTTGTTGCTATCTCCACAATTGTACTGATGCACTGAATTTCAGTGCCCAGACGTAGTAAATGCACTGTGACCCTGAAAGGGTTAAAAGAAAGGAACAAACGCCTACATGTCATTCATAGGTTATCCAACACTAACCATTACAGAATAGCGATGAATGCTATAAGTGCCCCAGTCATCGCCACGATCCATCTATTTGCCTATACATCGTATCATCGTTGAAGGATATTTCTACACCAGTCATAAGGAACTTAAAGTTGCGACTTCGGCGGTATTAGTCATGAAGTTGGTTGTTCCAAAGAGCAACACATGCTTCTTGCCAAACTTGACACTTGACTAACTCACGACTGCCGTTGGAACAACCAACTTCATGGATCATTATGGAGAAACATCAATTCACGCAATACCACTTGAGATAGATATCCACAGTGAATCCACTTCATCATTGTAATACAACACTTTAGCCCCGGTGTAAATTGTCTCCTCCAAAGGTACATTTGTAAATAGACTAAACGACATCAAAAGAAAAATGTGATCACTGGTGGGAACTGGGTGTGAGTGGAGGATGTCAACAAATTCAAACGTATCTTTGACTGTATCAGCTGGTGAGCTGATCTACTCACCTCCCATCACTTTAGGAGCTGCATCTGCGCCTTGATCCTTGAAGGGTGGTGGCGTTCCTACGGATGCGGAAAACTCGGCCTCTATATTATAATATATAGAGGCCGAATTTTCCGCATATTATTAGATAAACCGAGTCTCACGCGAGCCGTGATTTTTTTGGCTACGCTTACAGTAAACGGTTTGAACATTGTGAAGCCTTCCATACAGCCATTTTAGATTACTGTAAAAGCCATTATTCTAACGAGGCGCATATATAACGATTTCCCAAAATTGACTGGTTTACGTGTACCAAAGGTAACGATTCTCACGTATTCTCAACGCTCAATAGGACAGTATATGTATCGATTTTTGTGTAACGATTTCTATTTTAACGACAGAGTTCTCCTCGTTAACTCGTTAGAGTTAGCACTTCGTTATATATATATGGCTTTTACAGTAGTGGTGTAGACGGGTAGTTAGGGACCGGCGGATTCTGTGTTCTGTGTGTGTGTTTTTCAGGCGTTCCGTAAGTGGCAAGAGCATTCTAGCTTACTACACAAACTGCGATCAACTCAAGCTGCTATACGACCTCGCCACGACTGAGCCCAAGTCCACAGTGGCCGTGAACCTGCGCCAGATGTTCAGCCTGATCCTGCTCTACATGGATCCGAGCGCCTGGAAGCACACACTGCTCGGCGCTACCATGGCCATTCCGCCTCCGCATGCAGACCAGCCGCCGCCGCACTCCTCCACGCAAGAAGCCGTAGCCCCGTTGCTAGCGGCGACGGCCGCTACCACCACGCCGGCGGCTCCGTCGTCGTTGGCAACGCACGCCGGCGTCACGAGCAGTGCCGCTAGCAGCAGCAGCGCTAGCGTAGCGTGCACGTCGACGGTAGCGGCGGCAGCCGTACGCCGTGTGGCACCGCCACTCTCACCAGCGCCTCGTCAGTACACGGGCACTCCTCCTCCTCCCGGCACAGTAGTTGCCTCGATGACGGCGGCCACCACACCTGTGCTTGTGGCTAGTTCCCCCGGTGCAGTGACGCTACCCACCGCCACCGGTACTCGAGCAGCGCCTGTGCCTGTGCCAGCGTCACCACCACCACCACCAACAACAGTACGGGGAATTTTCGTCACCAAGAAGCCAAAGACTGTCGCCACGGCAGCAGTGGCAGTGGCAGCAGCGGCGAAAAAAACAGGAACACCAATGCTCGCCCCGCAGTCTGTGCCGATGAGCAGCACCACCGGCATGAGTAGCAGTAACAGCGCAGCTACAGGCAGCGCTGCTGGGAAAACCGGATGTAGTCTCGTGCTGCCCGCCGTGGACTTGGTGGCTACCACGTCTTCCTCTCCGCCGCCGCTAATGTCACGATCGTCTTCATCGTCTCCGCGCACCGTGCTGCCGTCACGCAATGCCACCAGCAGCAGCAGCACTAGCGCTGGAGCTGGTTCACACAGACCAACAAGCCTGGCTGCGCTGTCAACTCCGGCTATCCGAGCAGCTGCCGGAACGGCTGGCTCACTGGTGGGGTACTTGCCGACGCAAACTCGCGGCGCCGTAACCGCTTCCGCCGTGACGTCCACGCACCGCGCAGGCACGTTGTCGTCGGCGGAGACGCATGCGCTGCGCTCTGAACAGCAGGGCCACACGGGTGTGTTGCACGGTGGTGATGCGCGCCGTCCGCAGTCGTATACGTCGTCCCCAACCGCTTTCGTCCCACTCTCCAGTACCGTGTCCAGTCGTGCTGCTGATGGCGCCACTCGAGGCGGAGTGCTGAGCGGAGGAACCATGAGCAGTGCGTACGCTACGCCGCATGTAATGCCTCCGGGTGGTGCTGCTGCTGTTATGCCGCTCACAACTAGCCAACGCAGCCGGACATCACCAGCCCTGCAGCAACAGCAGCAGCAGCAACAGCAGCAGAGCCCTGCTGGTGTGCGCATTCGGCCAACGGCAGTGTTTGTACCGGGTACGGAAAGCACACGCCTATCTGCAAGTAGCGCTGCGCCTGCCACTGTGTCCCAACAGCTGCAGCAGCAGCAGCAGGAACAACAACAACAACAACAACAACAGCAACAACAACAACAACAAGCACCGCTAAAGGAGCATCAACGTCACACAGCCGCAGAAAGCTCCACTGTTGGGCTGCAAGCACCCATCTGCAGCAGCAGCAGTGCAGGCATTGATAGCAGCACTGCGTCTTCGTCTCGCTCAGGGCTGCACGTATCAGCAGCAACACCCACAGGTGTGGATAGTGCATCAGGGAGCACAGGCAAGCTAGAGACAAGCGCTGAGCAACCGACTGACAATACCAGTCTCGCCGCTTCCGCGTCCGAAAATCGTGTTTCTACTGGTCGTGAATGTGTTGATGGTCATGACGAGACAAGCAACACTGCGCCAACTCAGGTTCTCACTATACGGTATCTTGTGTGGTCGGCATCACCCGTACTCAACATTCTCGGCATGCCTGCGTTTGAGCAGGGGCGGTTCTGGGCACACGCCGTGCGCGGAAATAGCACATTCTCATCTACACTCTCCGCCGCTGTGTCAATCTCGTCATCGTCGTCATCATCGTCATCATCGCCACCGTGCGCTTCACTGTTGCTACGGTTACAATGCGTTGCCGTGGATCTTGATCGCGTGCACGCGTCTCTGTTGCAGAGAGCCGCCCAGCCCACCAAGGATGCGGACAGTGCGGCGGGCATTACCGGCGGCACTCCTGCCCTGCCAACACCCACGGACAACATCGGTGCATCCGCTGGTGCTGCTGCTGCTGTTGCCGGTGCTGTTGCTACGGGCAACGCGCAGGAAGACGACCTGGACGGGACGGTGAGACGGAAGCGCAATCGCGCCACGCGCCGTTCCAGCGACCCGTCCCTGCCGCTGGGCCGCCCGCCGACGGCGTCGTTCAAGAAGTACAGCAACGGCGACAACATGACCTACTTCTCCGGCATTCTGACCGAGCGGCGTCTGCACTCGCTGCAGCGCGGCTTTGTCATCCCCGTGGTGGACGTGCACACCGTCGCCAACAACATCCCAGCAATGGCCGTTACGCTGCGTGCGCTAATCTGCACGCTAGAGGCGCAGATCCCGCTCTCGCTGAAGTGCTCCGCGTGGCAGTCGTTCCGCGCCGACTGGCTGCTGGCCGTGCAGGGCTCACATCGGCACGAGCACCTCGCTTCGCTCGTCGAGATGCTCGTCTACAGCCTGCGCGTGCGTGCGTTCAACACACACTGGTTCAACACGACAAGCAGCACACGCTGGCGACGGCTCACCGACGCAGACATTGCCACGCAACCAAAGTGCACCTGTTGTAACCATGGCAACGACAAATCGGCCGCATCGCCCGACCTCCGATCTGCGGAGAGCAAGCCGGCGCATGCCAGCAACGTGGTGATGACAACGGGTGATGGGCCAGCATCGCCAGCAGAGCCCATGGACATCGTGTCTGCTGCGGCAGGCAATGTTCTTTCCGAAGGCAAGTGCGGAACCAGTGCAGCCTCCGTGGCTGCTGTGGGTCCAGCTGTGGCGTATACAGACGCCGGTCTGTCTGTCATGGCTAGCGTTTCTGATTACAGTGACACTCCTGCTGCTACTGCTGGTGGTGCACGTGGTGCACGTGGTCGTTTTGTTCGCAGCACCGTGTCTGAGGAGACGCTGTCCGTCACGGATAACAAACACAAGCCTGCTCAGGGGGCCACCACTCCTGCCACAACTCCGTCCGACTCTGAAAGCGGCACCGCAGCAGCGGCAGCGTTGTTTCATCGTCACTACCCAGCGAGCAGCAGTGGCGCTGTTGGTGGTGGTGTTGGCGGTGGCGATGCCGGAGGTCGTGTTTCTGACGCTCACATGCTGCGTTCGTCGCGTTCCTCTTCGCCAGTCCTGCGTGGCGGAGCGATGCCGCGTACGTTCTCCATCAAGCTGTCGCGCCTGTCGCCACGCCGACCCGCCTCGCCCATGCTACCACAGCAACAGCAGCAGCAACAGCAGCTGGCCTGCGTCAAGACGGAATCGCGGCCCGCGTCGCCCACGATGCCACCATTGTTGTCCTGCTTGCCACCCGACTGTGTACCTAGTACTGGTAGTCATGGTAACACAGGGGTTGGTGCCACCTCCACTGCCATGGCCAGTGCTGTGTTGCTATCAGCTACGAGAAGCAGCGCAACACCCAATCGTGATGATGTCACCCCCAGCCATGATGATGTCACACCCAGCCGTGATGATGTCATACCCGGCCAACCCATGTTATACGTAGATCAGCATCAGCCATCTGTCAACAGCCATCGCGCTTCTGCCAGTACTGATATGGGCGCCATCGGCAAAGGTAGATCGTCTGAAACAGCGACATCATCCGCATATTCGCGCAAAGCTAGTTGCAACTTAGATACTATGTCAGTAGCCGAGAAACTTTCCCCTTCACCTCAGTCCCAGTCACCGTTGAAAATGCCAGCAGAGGGCGAGCGCTCAGCTAGCGTATCGGCTCAGTACGTTGGCTTTCTGCACGTCAGCCCACGGTTTGTGGCTCACAAGAGCCGTCATCAGCTACCGCACCGCCGGTCGCGCCGCATACCGGCCATTCAGCAGCGGATAGACGATGCGATCTACCCTCGCGGCGTACCCGATGATGTTGTTGAGTACACGCGGGTGATGAAGGAGAGACTGGCCGCGGAAATGGCTGCTGCCTCGTGCGCTGTGTCTCCGCACTCGGAGCTGAGTTGTTCCGTGTCACCGGCCCCCGGTGCCATCAATGTAGCGTTGTCACCTCACCCCGGCGCTGCCGGTGGCGGTGGCTCGTCTCTGCCGCATGCAGTAACCCTGGTGCCATCGCCTGTAGCGGCACTACCCGTCATAGACCACCTGTCTACTACTGCTGCATCTACACATGATGATGCTCACCGCACGCCTTCCGTGATCTCCATCGACCCTGATGTTCTGGACATATCTGCAAAGGCGGCGTTTCCACCGTCGCCCAACCCACCACCGTTGATATCCGACGTGCGACCGGAGCGGCAACAGGAGCGCCAACCGGAGGGACAGGCACTGTATCGGCAACAGCAACAGCAGCAGCAGCAGCAGGAGGAGTCTGCTGCAGCATCGCCCGTGAGGGTGTCTGCGTTTGCGCCGATTCGCCGCGGCATGAGTCGACCGACCAGTGAGGCCTCCTCGCCGCAGTCTGCTCACTCGCCGCAATCCAGCGCAGGCAGTGCCGCTCACTCCGGGATGCTCAGCACCGCTGATTCTGCTGCTGCTGCTGCTGGCACTGCACGCCAACGTGCTGGTGGTGTCGTTGCCATGCCACCACCGCCGACCACCACACTCAAACCTGGCGCCAATGTGCTCTCTCAGGCGACGAGTAAGAACTCGGCGTTTGCTGCATTCGCACCTCCTGTGTGTGTCACTAGCCCTGCTGCTGCTGCTGCCGCTGCTGCTGCTGCTCCTCCGATACAGGTGATTGATGGAGCAGCAGGTCATCACAGGTCAGATCGAGCTCCAGCATCCAGCTCCGTGTCTCCGACATCCTCCAGCAGCTATGCCAGTAGGCGAGCTCACACTGCCGCCGCTGCTGCTGCTGCTGCAGGCGTTTCCATTGCTGCTCCCGCTGGTGTTGCTGCATCGTCGCCACAACTGCATGACAGCTTGCGACGAGTTAGCCCCGTACCACCTGCGGCAGTGCTGCACGCCGCTGCAGCGGCGGCGAATGCCACAATGTCCGCCCACGGCACCGCCTCTAGAGCAGCCTACGCCGGGTCGCCCATGGGCAACGCTCTGACTGTGGGAAACACTGGCATGGTGACATCATCCGGGCCGTACGGTGACGTCATGATGACGTCGTCATTGGGTCCTGGCCCTGCTGGCTCGACATCTGCAGGCGGCGCCATTTCCCCTGCTGGCATGCTCTCCCCGGCAATGCATGCGCAATCGTCTGGTGTTGTGAGTCCTGCGGGCAGTGCACAGTTGTCCCCAGCGATGCTTTCAGCCGCTCATATCGGTGGTGCGGTTGGTCCGTTCCTAGTGCCAAACCATCACCAATCAGCGGCCGGCTTTGTGTCGCCAGCGCCCAATAATATGCCGGTGTGGGATGACGACTATGCCTGGGTACAGAGGAGCGCACACCTCACGAACGTCCTGCAAGAACTCGCCGAGAAGCGCTCCACCGCCGATGGTGTGCCATCATCGCGAGCAGGGAACGCGCAGCTGCGATATTACAACGTCCGGGACACGAGAGCAGAAGGCACCGCTACTCCGGTAGCTGAGGGAGACAGTGGCATGGGTGCGGGCAAGGTGGTGAACGCTGCTGAACAAGCCACCAAAGACGTGCATGCTCAGCAAACCAGCAATGACGTGCATGCTCAGCAAGCTGGCAAGGAGCAGCCTATGGAGGTCTGCACCGATGATGCAGCAAAGCCTGGCGCAGACAACACCGCAACGACAGCGCAACTGGCCAAGACATCGTTGACGACAACGACGACGACAGGGACGCAGTCCGAAGGCGAGTCTTTGCACTCGTCGTCCGATCGCGACACACCAGCTCTGACTCCATCACCGTACCAGGCCACAGTCACGTCCGGTGCAAAGCTCTCCATATCGGCGAGACTGTTCAGCTTAGCCGGCAGGGGCTCCACACCGCCGGGCTCAGTAGGTTTTGTGCCAATCCACACAGGTAGTCCTAGTCGACACACCAACACTGCAACAATAATCGCTGGTACCAGTAGCACAGCGCAGCGCGGATTTGTCAGCACGCCGCCTGATGTCCACACGGCAGCTCTGGCGTCCACGGCGATGGCGTCACAGCACCACCATGGCTCCGCACCCAATCCGCTTTCGCCGTCCGGCGACGCAATCGACGGCACTGCGATGCCGGCCAGCTCTACCACGTCAGCATCGTCTGTGTCCTCGGCCCCGGTGGCCAAGCGAGAAGACGGCATGACCAGGATGCGTCAGCGACTCTTCCGCCGCTACACGGAGAAGCGCGTGCGAAGCCGCACTCTCTGGGAGCTAGACTGTAGCGATAGTCGACGGTTGGGCCGCCGGGCCGGCGTCTGCTTCGTCGACGGTTTCGTTTACCATTGCAAGTCCTCGTCAGCACCCGCCACCGCACAGCAGCGGCAGCTGGATGAGCTTGCCAAGTTCACGGAGGACGTGTGCTGTTGCAAGCCGGGCATCGACAGTTTCCCGCAGCCATCCATCGGGCGCATGTGGCGCTGGCGCATGCGCCACTGTTCCTCATTCTCGTCCATAGCGCTGCAGATGCGTGTACTGCACGCATGTCTGGACTGGGATCTCTTCATGGTGCTGTCCGGTGTGGTGGCGGCCGCTGCAGACACGCAGCGCACCATTCTATCTCGCCGTGACATAGACGCCTGGGGCAAGCAGTCACAGTATCTCATCTCGCCGCTGCCTTCTGCCGTTACCACGGAAACGTGGTCGGCAACTGTGCGGCAGCGTGTCGCCCCAGGCAACGAGGACAAGAGCCGCAGTATGCACGCTGGCCACGCACCACCGACCACTACTTGTGTCAGTGTGTGCGCGGATACACGTGATAAGCCGACTGCTGCTGTTGCTGTTAGTGGTTCAGACATGGAAGTTGGCGACATTGCTGCAACTGCTACTAGCGCTGAGACCCGGAGCAAGTCAACAACACCGACAGTGCAAACAAGAACCGGATCATCATCATCATCGCTAGCTGTATCAGCAACCAGCGCAGCAATTCAAGGCGTTGCTCGTGAGCCTAGTGAGGCAGTGTCCATGGTTACGACTGCAGCACCGATGTCGCTTGGACACGAGACCACTGGGGACGCGGCACGAGGAGGCGAGACAAGCGGAACAGAGTCCGTTGCCAAGACGACTGCGCCCATGGCTGGCGGTGAGCAGGCCAGTGTGGGTGACGACGCATCGCAAGCCACTGCTGAGTTGCCCCGGCAGCTGCATGTCACCGACGCTAGCCAGCAACACTCCGCGGAAGAACGCTCGGCGCGCATCCTGGCCAACTTTGCCAAGTCTTCGCCAGCTCTGCTCGGCACGTGCTGTAGGAATCGCTCGCGAGTGCGTGCCTTGTCGGACCTGCACGCCTCGCGGGTGGACTGTCGGCCTGGCAGCGGTGATAAGGCCGCTGTTGCCACCGGCAGCAGCGGCAGGGTAGTGGTTGGCATGGCAACACACACTCCAGTGAGCGTGTCGTCTTCGCAGCACGCTTCTCCCGTCGGCGGAGATGGCGGCGACAGTGATAGTGGCTGGGTGTGTGAGCTGTGCGTGAACGCCTACGCCGCACATCTGTTCCAGTACGATATGGTGCAAGACGAGCAGATGCGTTCCGTCATGCAGTCGAGGCCGAAACCGCTCGAGTCGGTCAGTCGGTATATACTGGGACCGAAGTATCGCCTGACGCAAACCGCCGGCATCATTGTACCGCAGAAACGAATGAACAGCCCGATCACAGGCAACACGACAGTCTCCGATCCAGGCAATGTTCTCTCTCCATCGTCGCACGGTGAGCCCGTGTCCAAGCAACCCAGACTGGACGGCATGACTGGCGTGGTCTCTTCGCCGGAGCGCGCAGTGGTCGCCAGGGGTCGCAAGCCGGCGACTGTACAATCCGGTACGTCTTTTACGCTGTGTGTGTGTGTGTGTGTGTGTGTGTGTGTGTGTGTGTGTGCGTGTGTGTGTGTGTGTATCTGTGTGTTTGTTTGTGTGTGTGTGTGCGTGTGCAGTGCGGCGCGGGGCGGTGCGGCGCAGCGTAGCGTACGGTGTGTGTGTGTGTGCGTGCGCGCGTGCGTGTGTGTAGTGTAGGGTGTGCATAGGTAACTGTCTTGGCCATCCTATTCCGATGCACTCCGTGTGGTGTCGACCAGATGTGCATTAGGGAATCAATTCGCATGGCTTCTCCAGTTGTGTGGATTAGACAGTTATCTGGCACTTGTCTTGAACTGTTTCATTCAGAATCAGATCCGCTATCGTTGCTATAAGAAAAAATCTGTGGGTGGACATCCAGTGTAGTTGTAGATTTGCGTGCTTCTGTTTCGACGGGCGTGTACATGGTACATGCTACATGGTGTGTGTGTGGAATATGTACTTGCGTGTGTGCGTGGGTGTACTTGCGTGTGTGGGTGTGGGGTGTGTACGTGCGTGTGTGGGTGTACGCGCATGTGTGGGTGTGAGTGGGTGTGTGGGTGGGTGTAGGTGCATGTGCGGGTGCATGTGTGCGTGTGGGTGTGGGTGGGTGTGGGTGTATGTGCGGGTGCATGTGTGCGTGTGGGTGTGGGTGGGTGTAGGTGCATGTGCGGGTGCGGGTGCATGTGTGCGTGTGGGTGTGGGTGGGTGTAGATGCATGTGCGGGTGCATGTGTGCGTGTGGGTGCATGTGCGGGTGCATGTGCGGGTGCGGGTGCATGTGCGTGTGGGTGTGCATGTGTGGGTGTGCATGTGTGGGTGTGCATGTGTGCGTGTGGGTCCATGTGCGGGTGCATGTGCGGGTGCATGTGCGGGTGCATGTGGGTGTGCATGTGCGGGTGTGCATGTGCGGGTGTGCATGTGCGGGTGTGCATGTGCGGGTGTGCATGCATGTTATCTTCCTTGCATGTTATCTTCCTTGCATGTTATGCTTCTCTACGCACACATCCTGTAATTGAACTGACGTGCACAAGCTCAACTGCATGCAGCCTTGCCCTCTTGTGTTCATCACGAATGTGTGAATTAATTCCATGTTTTGTTTGTTGCTCTGGGTTTGTCCTCTTTCCTGCAGATGGATCTTTGTCGTCTGTATGTGCATCGCAAACTCAAAGGCTAGCTGGAAAAGCAGCGGCGGAAGCAGCCGCTGCTGCAGCTGCTAGTCGGCAAGACCGCAGCCTGGTTGGTGAATTGGCTGGTGCAGCCACCGTAGACTCATCATCTCACAAGCAGCTGACTGCTGCTGGTGCTACTGGTGGGCAGGCAACGACGGGGCCTTCCGACCAAACCACAAGCACTACTGCCAGCATCAGCTCTACAGGATCTGCTGGTGCTGCTGGAAGTGTTACTCTGTTAAACTTGTCCGGACAGGAGGCACAGAACAGCAGCAGTAGTAGTAGTAGTAGTGCGCGTGTCACATCCAGCTCGATGCCCATGGCTGGTCGTACCGCCAACACCACATCCACAGCCACAACCAGTGGTGGTAGTAGCGGAGCGCCAGCAAGCAGCTTGACCTCCACTTCCCTGGCAGCGGCGGCGACTAGCAAGGCAAGCACGGCCGGAGTCCCTGCCAGCGGTGCCAGCAGCGGTGGCCAGAGCTCTCCGACCGTGGCCCCTTCCTTGCTCAGCGCTGCACAGTGCATGCTGAGCGGCGAGGATATCAAGCTGCCCTCTAACCTGGTCAAGATGGGCAACCGCGGCGCGTCTGCCTCTGCAACGCTGGGCACATCGGTAAGAGACTAGCTCAGTAAAAAATTAAAAAATTAAAAGCCATGGCTGGCTAACGCCCCCTCCTTTGCATTGCCTTCTGCCATTGGACGGTGAAATGAAATAAAAAATAAAATAAATAAAAGACACGGGTTTGTGTACAGGGCTGGTCAAGAAATGCTTTTCCGCTTCCGTGGGACGCGCCACCACTCCGTGATCTGGCTTTTAGATGCGGCTCCTGCACGGTGGGAGTGGGTGGATCAGATCCACCAACCAGAGGCCAAAGGCCGAAATCCCATTTGCCACGTCAATACCTGTGCCTAAATACCATAGGGTACTTGCGTAGATATGCTGACTATAACATTTCCTAACTTGAATATGCTTTCCACGGACACGGGTGACAGGCGACAGGGGTAATTTTTTTGTTTAAATGGATGTATTTAAAAGCTTTAAAAAGTTGCACGCGCTGAGCGATCACTGTCCAGTGTTGAATACTAGGGTGATGCGGTTTAGTCTAGACTACACTGGATAGAGTGTGCTTGAGTTAGCTAACTTATCCTGTGTTGGCTTTGCCGTGCCGTGTGTGTGTGTGTGTGTGTGTGTGTGTGTGTGTGTGTGTGTGTGTGTGTGTGTGTGTGTGTGTGTGTGTGTGTGTGTGTGTGCCTTGCCATGTGCTGGTTGTCTTGTTCTTTCCTCCTCTTCTGTAGCCGCAGTGTGTTTATCTGATCCGGGAAACTAGCTCCTCTCCAGCTCTCCTCCTGTGTGTCCCCATTGGCTTTGACATCTCCAAGCTGAAGATGATGCCAACGGATGTGGTACGTGCTGTCTTTCTTATTTGCATTACAGTAAAACCTGGTGTAAGCGACCTCTGATGTTAGCGACCACCTGCTCATTAACGATCGTTTCTTCATGCACCGACAGTTCTACACAAACACTATGGGACCTAGTTCTAAAGACCACCTGGCTTTAACGACCTCTTTTGCTTGTACCGTAGAGTGGTCGCTTAAACCAGGTTTTCATGTACAGGTCGTCCCCCGTTAACCCTTTAAGAGCCGCCCCATACTTGAATGCGTCGTAAACGACGCATTCAAATGCAAAACTTCAAAAGATCGTAACTCAGTCCAATCTCGCTCAAATCCAGTGATCGAAATATCCCGGGCGAAGAGAAAACTCTCACCTGTCGGGAGAAACAATCCGCGAAGCGCTGCGAGCAACGGTTCCTGAGATAAATCACTCGTAAGTTGAGCCGCGATCGCGGCAATTTCAAAAGCGCGCAGTGCGACTTTAGTATTGAGAATTTTGAGACTTTTCCTCACGTTGGTTTACTCGATTTTGCACGGGTTTCACTGTTGATATTGTCAAGAGTACACAGCGAAAAAATTGGAACTCCACGATCGAGTAAAATGAAATATCTGGAGCGGGACGCAATTGGACGCATTTGGGGCATTTTTCGTACTGTCGCTGCGATCTAGCGCTGGATAGACGGTGTGCTGGCTATCATGATCGACCTCATTCTCTTCCTCTCGCGGAGACCTTTCCAGGAAGCCCTAGATTGTGAGGATTGAGTGAGTAGAACTGAAGCTATGATCCAAGGAACACGAAAAAATGCAGAATTTTGAAAATTTCCTGTGGCTCTTAAAGGGTTAATACGAGTCCGGTTAGTACATAAACCCCATTAGTACATAAGAAATCTCAAGTCCCGGACGAAACGTGGTCACTTCCATACAAATTTTGTCGGTTAGTACATAATTCGTTAGTACATAAACCCCGTTAGTACATAACATTTCTCCGTACCCGCATGTCATCTACCTCAATAGTACATCATTTGTTGGTCTTTTGGCCTTCCAGTGGAGGCACATAGTGTTCTAGTTTCTACTTCTGCAAGTTGTGGACGCAATTAGCTCAGAAATCAGAGCGCACATCACAAACCGACAAAGCTCTGTTTTTTTCCAAGTGACTGTACAGGCGCGGCTGGCATGCTATCATGTAAACTGTAGAATCTTCGCTAACTGTGACCGTTATAACATAAATCTTATGTTATATCGAGGGAATCAAGAATATCTCGCTGCCTAGTCGTGGTAGCAAGAAACATTCAGAAAAGTTGAAAAAAGTGAAAAATTCCGGTACACGGGCAAGTTATGTACACTTTCGTTTAGTACATAAACCCCGTTAATACATAACATTTGTCAAGTCCCAGAGATTATGTATTAACGAGGGACGACCTGTACCTGTTGTCCGATGTAAGGGTGACCATACACATTGTCACGAATGGCACAACCATTCACGAATGGCACCACCATTCACGAATGGCACCACCATTCACGAATGGCACAACCATTCACGAATGGCACCACCATTCACGAATGGCACCACCATTCACGGATGGCACCACCATTCACGGATGGCACCACCATTCACGAATGGCACCACCATTCACGAATGGCACCACCATTCACGAATGGCACCACCATTCACGAATGGCACAACCATTCACGAATGGCACCACCATTCACGGATGGCACCACCATTCACGGATGGCACCACCATTCATGAATGGCACCACCATTCACGAATGGCACCACCATTCACGAATGGCACCACCATTCGCGAATCTTTCTTGTACAGTACTATTGTTGTATTCTATTGAGTCGTTTATGTCTCTCTAACTACCATAATTATAGAGGTTATGCAATAACGTCAAATACGCCATATATAGGAGCCAGTTGGGGTGGCAAAATGCCCAAAGCGGGCACAGAAACCCCTTATAGAAGAATTTGGAGTGGCAATGACGTGTATCGCATAACCTCTTATAGAGCTTCAAAGTAGGATCTGTGCCTTTTATGGATCCACGCCCTGTGTGGATCCACTCCCGTTATGTCTAGTTCCGTATCGGATCTATGCACGCTTGTACGTATGCTTGTACATATTCAATCTGCCGGCAGAACTGTTCCGTCCTTTGTGGACTCGTCAGCGCAGCACAGAGCTTGTACATAACTGTTACGTACATGTCTCACTTGTTGTGCTCTAAGTGGCCTGTTTTGGAACTCCACTCTAAATAAAGCCAAACAACAACATGTCTAAATATAGATAAGCACCCTAGATGCGAGCACTCCATAATTATTCAGTTTGTACTATGAGCTTGTTAATGGTGTCTCTTGCATGCGCAATCTATTTCCACTAGGGGTGAAACGAGTTTCTATTTTGACCAACCGATCACTCATTCATAATATTCGATCGAGTATCCGATTATTTCGAGTATTTTATCGAAATTCAAAAGCGCTAGATTTGTGAGTTCTCGACCAATTCGGAAGAAATTATCTGTGAACATAGAACAAAAGTCGCCAACGTCTTGTACAGAGTGTAAAGTAACGATTTTCACCAGTACTTTCATTATCTCAAAACAAAATAACGTTACTTGCCGTGGTGATCGCATCGTCCAAGTCATAAAATACTGACTCAAAGGCACGAATAATGCGTGCATACCAGTCGATGAGCAGTACAACAGGAGTTTTTGAAAAATAGAATGCCAGTACTAAAAAAAAAAAAAAAAAAAAAAAAAAAAAAAAAAAAAAACGATCGAGTGCAAAATTTCGAATACTCGCTCGTTTGAGATTTTCGAACGAATACTCGAATATTCGAACTAATCGTTTCACCCCTAATTTCCACGGAACCTAGTTTACGTCATCTTCAGCGTTGACTTCCGTGCACGCTGCTCTAGCTTTGCACACTTCACGTGCAGAAATGTAGATGTAGCATCTTCGCCACTTTTGGTGTATTCTATTTGATGTGTTGCTGCGCATACACATTAGTCATTACTGCCTGCGCGCACGCTTTGGTTTAGCTGTGGCACACGGCCACCTTTCACCATTCTTTCTCTTAGACCTCATGGTGGTCGCCACGCAGTTTGGCCTCTCCACAACTAACAGTCAACAGTATGGTAATAGGGTTCTTCTAGCTGACATAATTATGCTCTCCCAATCTGAATCAGTTTGATATATTAACGTCTCGGCTACACACATTCTCACAACATGCTTTCTTCAAGATCGGCCTTGCACGACAATTCATGTGATTGGGCACCCTGTAAGAAGACCTTAGGGTCTGTTGGGAATGCCCAAGTAAAATAATAAAATACAATACAAAAAAATGTGATTTTATTTCATTCCTGTTTTCAGTGACTGGTGCAACGCAGAGACCGCTTGAAAGTGTTGTGTGAGGATATATGGTTGTAGTGGATGGCTACAGTGGGGTCTGGTGGATCCGCATGCGCGTCAACAACTCAAGTATCTGTCATGTGTCTGTGTCTGTGTACGCGTTTGTGTTGATGTGCGCAGGGCGTGAAGGTGCGCGTGACACGCTCCCTTCCCGCCACCAGCCAGCCAGAAACGCCGTCGACTTCCTCTGGGACAGCGACGCCTGCGGAAGTGTCACAACCGCCTACAATATCAACCTCAACCCAAGCAACACCTTCCGGTCACAAAGCTGCACCAAAGCTTCAATCCCCACCGCGGCAGCAGCAGCAGCAGCGGCCGCAGCAGCCGTCACAGCAGCCCAAACAACAGCAGATTCATGCTGTGAAGAAGGAGACTGGTGCCGAACGGTGAGTACTTCCTCATTCGTTGCATGTGTGTGTGTGTGTGTGTGCGTGCGTGCGTGTGTGTGTGTGTGTGTGTGTGTATGTGTGTGTGTGTGTGTGTGTGTGTGTGCGCGTGTGCGTGTGATCCTCTTCTATGTGTCTGTGGACGCCCATTTCGTCGACCAGGAGACCTGAAACGACATGCCAAGTTCTGCGCTCGTGTTCTCACTTGAACTTTCCGACATTCGCTATCATTGCGTACGCAATGGGCAAGATCAAGGTCAAGGTGTGCGTGTGTGTGTGTGTGTGTGCGTGTGTGCACGTGTATGCATGTATGTGTGTGCAACAGTGAATGCATGTGCATATGTGTGGGTGTGTGGATGTGTGCATCGCAAATTCGTCGAGCGCTAGTGTATGAGGACATGTATTCGGATTGGGATGTTTTTAAAGAATTGTTGTATAAATGGACGCTTTTGCACCGGCCGTCCAACTGTTGCCCACCCCTACCAAGTGTTACTGGTACTGCTGTGTGATCATGGCATGGTGTACTATTTACACCTCTGTTTGCTGTACAATAAAACCTGTCTAAGACCACCGCTCAAGGGACCTTCAGAATGCGCTCACAGTGTACACGTGATCCCCTCAGGGCGCGTTCAGACTACCGTGAATCCCGTCAAACCGTGAAAGGCGATAAACCGTGAAGGACATTAACACTACCGATAAACTAACGTTACTGGTACGTAAATTTTGCAGCTCTCACCGCGGCACTGAGAAGGGATTTTCCCTTTTTCCCAGCCTGAGCACTCTTTTTACTGCCGGAAAAGTTCTACTGCCGCAGCAGCCGCGGCAGTAAAACTTTTCCACCGGTAGCGTGCCAGTAACGTCACGTGATCAAATCACCTTGGAAACTTTCCCATTCCGTCACTTTTTATCGGTAGCGCCCTTATCCAGTGTCATTTGACTGGAAATGCCTGCATCCCTTGGTCCTAGCTGTAGTGGTCCTCTGGGACAGGTGGTTGCCTTATCTCCGAGTGGTCTCCGTGACAGATTTTACTGTATCCGCTGTGGCCATTGCTGTTTCACTTGCAGGCTGCCACCGCCCTCTGGCCGTGTAGTGTTTGACGTGCTGTCGTCATCAGGGCCCTCGTCACCCGAGAGAGGCGCTCTTGTCATGTGCACAACATCGGAAGACTGCGCCTCGGCTGACGAAACACAGGTACCGTGGCGGCATGAATGTCTATGATGATTGTTGCCACTCGGGCGGTGGTGTTGCTGCTGCTGTTCCTGATCAGGGGTGTAGTTGCTGTGTGGTGGTGGTGGTGTTGCTGCTGCTGCTGCTACTACGAATTCTTGTTCTCATTCTCATGATTTCCCCGGGTCTTTAAACAGATAGCCGTAGTGGAATGAGTATAGCTGTAGTGGAATGAGTATAGCTGTAGTGGAATGAGGGCTTTTTAAGGGATACGTATGTCATTCACACACACGTTCCTGAGTCTTCCATTCTCTGTCTCCACTAGTGAGCTCTGTTGAAGCTGAACTGTTGTCTGTGAGCGTCTGCACTGCCGTATTTTCCGGAGTATAAGCCGCACTTTGAACACTCAAAATTCACCCTCGAAAGGGGTGTGTGGCTTATACTCCGATGATCAAATTAACGGTGATAAAATAGGGTAGATGTCTGTATTTTCTTGGCCAAAAAAATGGGGGTTCGGCTTATACCCCAATGCGTCTTATAGCCTTGTACTCGGGAGAACACTACGGTAGTGCAGTATCCTCAATCGGCGGACAGAACTGTTTCGTCCTTTGTCCTTTGTGAAGTCGCCGGCACAGCACAGAGAAAACGAGGCCGATCCTGCTAGCAATGAAAAATAAATTTTCTGAAAGCCAGATATAAACCAGTGCAGCTTGCTGTGTCTGGACGGAATGGTCATTGCTATGGTGGTGATGATGTGGATGCGGAATCGAACGGCGGGCGAGAGAGTAACGTGGACAGTTTGTGGGACTGATATTTATACAATGTCCAGGTTGTTCGCTAATTCTCTTCATTTGTTTATTGAATTGACGCTATTCCGGCTATATTGATTATCTATGGGTCCGTGGTGAAGGTCATGTGTACTCTAACTGGTAGAGTTTTTGAGCAGGACTTCTTTTTTTCGATGTTGTTTCCCGCAGCGCCCGCCAATTTCGCGTAAGAAGCGCCCACACCTGTCCTCCTCCACACCAGCAGCAGCGGCAACAACAGCAGTCAGTAGAACAGACGGCAGCAGCAGCAGCAGCAGCACTGCGGACAGTGGTCATGCCACCATGTCTTCGCCACCACCGACCACCGCCGTACAGACTTCCTCTTTGACGAGTCCTGAGCCGCGCAAGCCAACGCTGACGGCACACGCCAATGACGCGTCGTCCACGCCGTGCCCCAAACGTCGCAAGCTTGTTTGGTCGGGCCCTACGAAGCTTGGAGCAGTGGACATTGAAGACAGGAGTGGTGAATCCGTTCCAAAGTCAACGAATGTAACGTCAGCAGCAGCAGCGGCGGCCCTCAATGCCTCCGCTACGCAATCCCGTCCGGCAGCAACAATGTCGACGGCGGCAAAGAGTGCAGTCAGCGGTGTTCGATCCTCATCATCGTTATCGGGAAGTCTCACTCAGCCACCACCACAGTCGGTCACGCTGGGTTCATCTGCACGCGCGTCATCGACTGCAATCTCGTCGTCTTCGTCATCGTCTGCAACCATGGTGACGATTCCCGGCGGGTCAACAGTGATAGTACGTGGAGTGCATGGCATTAGCACCGACTCCGCTCAGTCTCCCGCGACCGTCACCTCCGCCTCTCCACTGACGACTGCCACTAATTCGTTGTTACTGCCGGCGTGCGTAAGCAGCGGTAGCAATGCTGGACATGCACTGGTCTCCACTGGACCCGGCTCCAGCATGCACCCTGCTGTTGCTGCAGCTGCAGCTGCTGCACCGCTCTTGAGTAAAGATACTTCACGAGGCGCCACAACGTCGTCATCATCCACATCATCATCAATGCGTGCGGCTGCTGCTGCCAACGCAGTAGACAAGACCAACGTGTCGAAGAAATCCGCCGACCACACCGCACAACAGCGCGCCGCATCGTCGGTTTCATCGCCGTCATCCAGCCGATCCTCATCACCCAGTAAACGCACGACGACGACGACGACCAGCGGAGTTAGCCGTGTTTCCTCGCCATCGTACCGCTCTTCACGCGTGACATCGCCGCCGCGTCACAGCAGCGGCGGGTCGTGTGACGAGCAGTCTGACGATGCGGCGTCACGCATCGCCCGTAAGCTCTCCCTGCCTCCCATCAAGACACCAAAGCTGCCGCCATCTCTAACACCAATCAACCTGGCTGATGGAGCTCAGGTAAGATATGTGTAGGACTCAGCAGCCCAGCAATCCTCTATATGTCGTCATTGCTCTATATATGGCCAAACCGCTCTACATGGTCACTCTATTGTGGTCGGTTCCAATGTGTCTTGTCTATATATGGTCATAATAATACATTTTACTAATAATACTACTCCCTGGTGACCGTGTACAGCAGTGCACCGTGTCGAGCGTACACTGTACGGACATGTAGTGACCATATATAGGGTCGTGACCATATATAGGGTTGTGACCGTATATAGAGCAGTGACCATACTGAGTGTAACATATGTATTCTTCCTTGTGATTACCATGGACTGCTACTTGGCTTAGAACTTGTTTTTTTTCTAGGCCAAGCGAAAGAATATACTTGATGATCGTGCTCTCCCGCCCCGAATTCGGGGGCCGCCCGGGAATTCATTTTTATTTCCAGAGGTCCAGTCTGCATGTACGGAGACCGAGCAGTTTCGCTTTTTCACAGCGAAACCTGACGGGAACATCGATTGTGATCCCAAAACTCGTACACATTTTTGAGGAATACAACCAAGTTTGGCACACCTTCACAAACATGTGCTTTGTGTTTCTGGAGTGCATTTGCTTGACATGAAGCTGCTCCATGTGCACCCGCTGCTCGATCCCGTTCTAGGTCGTACCAACCAAACACTTCCTCAGTGATCAAGCAATAATGCTTTGAAAAATAAAAAATAAAATCCGCCCTCCCTCCCCATTTTTTTTCTGAAAAAAGGACGATCATCAAGTATATTCTTTGGAATGGACTCGGATGGAGAGCCAATAATTAATTTATAAGAAAGAAAAGGCCAGTTAGGGGTCGTCCGTATTTTTCGAAAAATTAAAAAATCCGTCCTCAGGCAGAAAGGGGGTGGGTGGTCAAGAGCGCTGGCGGAATTTAATTTTTTGATTTTTCTTACCTTTTTTTTTTTTTTTTTTTCGTCACTGTTACTCATACACTCGTTGCACTGACTCGTAGTGCACTGTAGACGTAGTGTAGGATCACAAACACCAGTATGATATACCGGTACATGGCTTTTTTTGTGGTTGTAGGATGTGCATGGCCTACGGTAGACCTCCTACTCACTTTACTTAGCTACTAGTACTTGACATACATACGTCATGTACATGTAGGTGCAATCAGTGAACATGGGGTCAGGAGTTCTTATTTTCGAGCTGGGCATCGGTAAAAATCAAAAAATTAATGGGAAAAAGTGGGGTGTGGGTGGGTGGGTCAGAGACAATTTTGCACGAGGACGGATTTTTTAATTTTTCGATAATTACGGACGACCCCTTAGTTGTAGAACATCAGTACCGTCGGTCAGTGTAGTGCGATGTTATCGCATGAGCTGATTGTTTAGTAACTGGTGGTGTTAGTGGACGTTATAGTGTCGTTCATTGGTCCTTTTCTTTCTTATATTCTTTGGCTTGGTCTTAAATGCTTCGGGATCGTCTCAGAATTCTGCAGCATCCCAATTGCAAAATACCTTCTTGCACGTGCACATATGCCTTTCTCTCTCTCTCTCTCTCTCTCTCTCTCTCTCTCTCTCTCTCTCTCTCTCTCTCTCTCTCTCTCTCTCTCTCTCTCTCTCTCTCTCTCTCTCTCTCTCTCTCTCTCCCTCTCCCTCTCCCTCTCTCTCTCTCTCCCCCCTCTCCCCCCTCTCTCTCTCTCTCTCTCTCTCTCTCTCTCTCTCTCTCTCTCTCTCTCTCTCTCTCTCTCTCTCTCTTCTGTCTTGTACTGTGGAACCTGAGGGTAGAGGAGACGGTTTCAAATACTTTGAAGTAGGAAATAGGTTGCAATCCGGAACGGTCTCAATATTCACTTTCTCTCTTGGTATTTTGATTAGAAACGTATGTCACAGTGAGACTACGATGTGTTTTACTCAGCGTCAAAATTCCATGGCTCTGCGATGACCAGAAGCGCCATGCCAAGCATTTGAGTTTTTGACGTGTTGCTTCTCACTGCGACTTGAGTTTTACGTCTTTCAAAAAATCAACTTCTTGTCGCAGGTAAACGCGGCTCGCATCTCGCCAATAAAGCACCGTATACCAATCAAAACTAATGGAAGCACACACAAAGCTTATTGGTGCTCTGTACTGGCCGTCGTGGAGCAATAGTAATTACCTTTTTTCAGAACCCGGAGTGAACTTGACGTGCACTCCTAAACCTGTCCGGTTTGGAGCCACCTCTGTAAACACCAACAGTTGAGGGCAACTTGGAAGCAACGGGCCAACACAAAGGAGTAGCTCAGATTGATCGACTCTGGCCTCAAAGCAAACTTCAACATGCCAGCTTCCTTCCACAAACATTATTTCGAGTGAACAATCCACACTGATGATCGGTTTGGGTCTACACAATACTGCTGTCAAACCGGTCCGGTATCGAACCGTCGCCTCTACAGACATGAACACCTGAACCTCCATCATGGGGCGCTAAATCACCAGGCGAAAGGCGAAAAGGCGTTAAATACACGCCTGCCCGCCCAGCACTCTCTGGGCTGCAAAGTTATTTCTTTGCAGCCCAGAGAGTGCTGGGCGGGCAGGCGTGTATTTACCACCTTTGTTCCAGGTGTGATTGTGCTAACCCCCATTGATAATATAAGTGCTTTTAGGGACAGCTTTCTTTTCTAGAAAATGTTATTGTAGACTGTCTGTGATCCTGGGTGCTACAAAGCCATTGTAGATCTGCGACTTCTCACAGACCCCATCTGAAAGGTAAGAAGGCAGTGGACAGAGCGGCCAACCCCAGAGCCTTTCTGCCAGCTGCTTGACTGTTCTACGCTTTGCGTCCACGTAATTTCGAGCACTCTTTGCTGACCAAGAGCATCCTCGTAGAAAATGTAGTGAAAATCTAAGTCATACCCAATCTGCACTCTCTTGTACCATCGTCATCCTTCAATGCGACGGACCCCACGATAGGCGGTCAGCCTTTGGGTCATCCTAACGAGAGAGCTTGGAAGCTCAGGGCCCTGCGCTATGCTTTGTTGCCTAGCTCATCGTGCGTGTTGTTAGAACTGATGGAAATGCTTTTTCCTTTGATAAGCTACATCATTGTATTGCAAAAACGTTTCAATGAGATACTGAAGTAACGTCTTCTGCATAGCTATGGGACCGGCGCTGACTCTGCCGATCACGGGCGTTCTGGAGTCGACGGGATGTCTGTCCTGACGTTTCCTGGGACCGGCGCTGACTCTGCCGATCACGGGCGTTCTTCTTCTTCTTATTATTATACTGACGGCAACTAACATCCATTCTGATTGCATTTACTCGTCTCCCTACTTCGTATTTCTTTCCAGAAAATCTCCCCATACAGCAGGGAGTCGTTTACATAATATGACTCCCTGCTATACATCTACATGACTGTATATACGTTATAATTATTATGCTATCGGCCTACATGCGATTCCCGGGCTGGTCGACAGGCGGCCCAGCCAGCCTGCTAGTGTGATCTCGGCCTCGCACACAAATCCACACAAAATGTTACTGCACTGAATGCATTCCCCGATACACTTCGCATATATACTCATTCTCTTGATGGTACCGTACTCTTGATGGTACGGGACAGGTACGGGATAGCGCCAGGCATGTCGATGGCACAAACAAACAAAAATATTGTTGCCAACTGTCTCTGCTGGTACGGTACAGTACGGGACAGATACGGGATAGCGCCAGGCGTGACACAAACAAACAAACAAACACCAAATTAAAGCTGTGTGGACCCTGGCTAGCGCCAGACGTTACTGAAGTAACGTCTTCTGCATAGCTACGGGAATAAAGTTATTATTATATCTGCTGTGGTGCTATTGTCCTAATAAAGTTATTATTATATCTGCTGTGGTGTTATTGTTGTTGTTCAGGACCCACCTACCACGGTTGCCGTACCCGAATCCATCATGATTGCACCGACCACCACCTCCACTCCGGCTACTGGCACGACAACCACAGCTGCCAAAGCAGCGCACGGCAAGAAGTCTAAAGGTGCGGGCGAGCAGTCCGCCACAGCCAGGCCAGCATCAGCAGCCGCAGCCAAACCAGCCGCGGCCAAACCAGCCGCGGCCAAACCAGCCGCGGCCAAACCAGCGGTGGCCAAACCAGCGGTGGCCAAACCAGCGTTGGCCAAACCAGCGGAAGCAGCGGTGTCTTCCGCCAGCAAACACGGTGTCGGTGGTGTTGGTGTGGACGCAGCAAAGGGTGCGAGCATTAAGACGCTCTCGACTCTCCCTGCGTCTTCTGCCAGTACTGCGGGCAAGTCTTCTGCACCACCGTTGGCAGCACTGGGTCAGGGCAGACGTGATGTTGCTAGTAGTGCTGGTGCTACTGGTGCTGCTGCTACTGCTGCCAGTGGGAAAGCCGCCATGGACGCTAGCTCCGCGTCTAAGGCTCGACCTCAGGCATCACGGCAAGTTGACACTGGTACAGTGCAGCAACCGACAACTTCTACCGCCACCGCAACCACCGCGGCCAGCAGCAGCAGCAGCCACCGTGTTGCTCCCGTTACACATGCTGTCTCTGGTGCCCGACAGCGCGTCCGCGGTACAACGGAGGACTCGGTCGATGCTGCCAGCAGCAGTGTGTCTGATGCCCGTACATCCCGTACTGGTGGTGCTGTCCAGGTGGACAGCGATCCACGCCAAGCCGCCGCCGCCTCCGCCTCGGAGGACGATGACATTGATGTGACGGGTGTGGAATCGCCGTCGGCGGAAAGTGAAGAGGACCTCTCTGCGGCGTCCATGGAAGACGGCGACTCTGTCCACTGCATATGTCAGCAGCCCTGGAGCAATCGAAGGTGAGTCTGTTTTGCCCGACGCCACTCGCTTTGACGCTGATATGTCTCGTGTTGCCTCTCAGGTCTGTGGGTGGAAAGGTATGGTATGGTATGGGTTTTCAATTTTTATTCACCAATCGAACAGGCCCCACAGTTAACCCACAGTTAATTGGGAACTCGTGGCCTGGCACGAGGGTAACATGGATGCAGCTAATGGGATCTCGGTCTTTGACCACTTGGTGGTGGGTCTGATCTACTCACCCCCCACTGCTTTAGGCGCTGCATCTGCGCCTTTGATCCTAGAGGGTGGTGGCGTTCCCACAGCGGATGTGGAAAACTCGGCTTCCAGCCGAGTCTCACGCGAACCGTGAAATTTTTATTTTATTTTTTAATTTAATCGAACAGGCATATCTGCCTTCTTGCCGGCATGGCCAGATCCAACCACGGCTCCTACTAATTGATGAATATGATAATGTGAAGCAAAAGAAAAGAAAAAAAATGGTACTTTGTCAGCTATATATTCCGTATTCAAAATATGGAGAGGGCAGTATATGGATTCCAGGTCACTGTTTTGAGTTCCGGTGTTGATGACGACTGAGGATTTTTTTTATTCAGACCTTCCTGTTCACTTTTTCCTGAACCTCATGAATACTATTTGTGCACGGCCATGTGTCAGAGATTACTGATAAGCACACAGTGCAGTTTACTTGCTAGAAGTCACGCACTCGCGCCGGTCACCTACGTTTGCAGTCCAGACGACACCGCACATGAACGTTCTGTTCATGTGCCAGGCTAGTTTTGCACCCGGGACCGCGAAGGCCCTCGCGAAGTTTCATGCTTCCGAAAAGTGCAATGCGAGTTCGCACAGGCTTTTTGTTGTGGAGAGCCTCTCTGATTTCAGAATGTGTAGAATTTCAGACTGATTGCCTGTGTGCGCATGTGTGTGTGTATGTGTGTTGTCATCTGTGTGTACATTTGTCTGTGTATGTGCACGTGTGTGTGCACGTGCGCAGGCTTTACGTGGCGTGCGACATGTGTGACGAGTGGTTTCACTCTACTTGTCTGGACATACGCAAGGGAGAAGCGCACAACTTGGTTGCCTACATCTGTGGGACTTGTTTGCCGGTGAGTTTGACATCCGTGTTCTCACTTTGGCCATTGGCCTAGAAGACGGTTACCATGGTACATGTACAGTCAAACCTCTTTAGGACGAACACCAAGGGACCGATGGTATTGGTTTGCAATAACGGGAGTTCTTCTTTTCCGTATTTCATACTACCCAGTGACTACACGGTGTTCTATCCATTACACTAACGAATACTAGTTCTTCTAAAGCGAAAGTTTGTCTTATCAGTGTTCTTCTTAACGAGGTTTCGCTGTATATGCAAGGCTTGCTTGATAGATTAACATGCTTTACGATGATCGATGGTACACGGCAGAGAACACACACCAGCACAGGCTTGCTTTGCAGCCCCTACTCTCCCTGCTGTTTTGTTATTGTATACTCTGTTGTCTTCTCCCCTTCTGACGAGTAGGTTGTGTACTTAGTAAAAAAATTAAAAAAATAAAAAAAAATTTAAAAAAACATGGTCGCAAAACCGAGACTCTACCAACCGCCTTATGGTTGCAGTCAGGAACACTGTTCCCCATACTGTGTCTCCTCCGTCGTGTAAGATGCTGTGATCATAACACAGTTTATACATGTAGTACTATACATGTATTAGTAGTACATGTATATGTATATGTATTGCAGTGGAACTTGCTGGCCAAGCTTGTACAGTCGTCCCTCTCTAATCCGGCACTTTATAATCCAGCACCCTCGATAAACCAGCACAATTTTCAGTAGCCAAAATGTCCTCTTCATGCACATTGCAGCAGTAAATCAGATTTGTTAATCCAGCACCCTCCCTAATCCAGCAGATTTTCGTGGCACAAATGGTGCCGGATTATAGAGGGACCACTGTACATGCGTCGTTGACTTGCCTCACCTGTACAGTGCTAACGTTATCGGTTTACCACCTGATATACCTCCACCTTTTTTCACTATAATTATACTGTGTTGGACTCTGCTCGCTATATCCAAAAACGTCTTTGAAATTCAAAATACAATCTTTTTTATTGAGATCTGCTGGTTCCACTATAGCATTGTTTGCAAGACTTTCGACCAACTGGTGCCAATATCCCTACACTAGGAAAGAAAGAGCTCCTCTTCCTCCTCCCTCTCCTCTTCCTCCTCCCTCTCCTCTTCCTCCTCCCTCTCCTCTTCCTCCTCCCTCTCCTCCTTCTCCCTCTCCTCCTCCTCCCTCTCCTCTTCCTACTATTTCTGTAGCAGTATTGTGTGTGCGTGTGTGCGTGCGTGTGTGTGTGTGTGTGTGTGTGTCTGTGTGTGTGTGTGTCTGTGTGTGTGTGTGTATGTGCATGTGTGTGTGTGTGCGTGTGTGTGGTACAATTATGGTGTGTGTGTGTGTGTGTGTGTGTGTGTGTGTGTGTGTGTGTGTGTGTGTGTGTGTGTGTGTGTGCGTGTTTCACACAGTCTTACCAAGGCAAGCGCCCTCGCGGTGCGTGTCGTCATGGTGCTATCAAGACGAGGGAACACGAGATCAACATGCGTCGTCGCCATGGTAAGCCACTGGATGCCCCAATGGCTCGTGTTAAGACCACCGACGATGAGTACTGCCTGTGTCGCGAGAAGTACGACCATTCACGGTGAGTTCCTGTCAACGTGTGTGTGTGTGTGTGTGTTTGTGTGTATGTGTTTGTGTGCGTGTGTGTGCGTGTGTGTGTATGTATGTATGTATGTGTGTATGTATGCGTGTGTGCGTATGCGTGTGTGCGTGTGCTTTTGTTAAAACACGTGTTTCATGTTGAGATCATGGGTCCATTCATGTATGTGGAAGTTACTCAATCTCTCGACAGCAAGCTGTTTCGACTTTGCTCGTGTCTTATCAGTGGAGCTCTGAGTGACTGGATTTCTTTCCTGTTTGGATCGTGTTGTTCCTTGTGTAGGCTCTACATTGGATGCGAGAAGTGCAAGGGATGGTATCACCTGGACTGTGTGGGTCTGACATTTGAAGACGTCGAGGGAATGGAGTCCTACAAATGCCCTACTTGCACGAACAAACGCACGAAGAAAGTCTTGACAACAAGGGCGGCAGCGGCGACCACAACGGCAGACAATAGCGGCAGCAGGAAGACTACCGTGGAGTCTAGCGGTACTAGTAGTGTGAAACAGGCCATGTCTGCCTCCTCGAGCACCGGTCACACCAGTGCAAGCAGCCATCAAGCAGGAAGCACGACTAGAAGCGTGTCGTCACGCACCAAGACACTCTCCTCGTCGTCGTCATTGGCAACCTCTGCTGCGCCTCAGACCCAGGCATCTCGTACGGCCGAAGCAAAGTCGTCTAAAAGCACGTCGTCTGCATCCCTGCCTTTGCTGTCCCGTGGGTCGACGAGCTCTGAAGCAGCAACTTTGCTGTCCCGTGGGTCGACAAGCTCTGAAGCAGCGACGACGACGACGACGACTACTACACTGCAATCACAAGCAATCAGCAGTGCAATGAGCAGTGCAATCAGCAGACCGACGCACACCGCTCTGACTGCTCCAGTCAGTGGTACGAAGATAGCCGTGACGAGGGTCACAGCGACTTTGTCAGATACGGGTCCGGGTAGTCAGCTGAGGCACCCGTCATCGGCAGCGGTGGTGGCGGAGCACGCTAGGGAGCGTGAGCAGAGGCACCCATCATCATCATCATCGGCAGTGAAGGAGGATACTGGCGATCGCCAGCAGAAACACACGGCCATGACTGTGATGGAGGAGGACACCACCATGCAGAGACTCCGAAGCAGCTCTAGTGCACGGTCAGGTACTGCAGACGACGGCATGGCCACGGGCGCCACTTCAGCATCCTCGTCGCCCAGAATGAAACGGCGTGCGCAAGAGGTCGACACCAGTGATCAAGTGTCGGCAACGGCCAAGCGCACCAAACGCCCCGGCCAGCTGTCCACCACGCCCGCAGAAAGTCCGTCGGCAAGCAGCACTGCAGCGTCCTCTGTCCGTGCCACACGCTCCATGGAGGCCCTCTCCGACGAGAAACCTGTGTCGAGGAAGACCTCTCCACGCCGTGAAAGCCGCTCCAGTCTCACTAACCCGCCGTCATCGGGTGGTGGCAAGAGCGGACCGGCACTGAGACGCTCGCCCAAGAACAAAACTGGTGGCAGTAAGCAGTCTGTGCCGGCGGGGGCAACGGCGGTGGCAGACTCCAGTGCTAATCCCCATGACGACGAGGACGATGAGGACCTGCACGCTGCAGGAAAGGTATGTATCTTATTGTTATCTTATCTTATCTTTGTTTTAGACTCGGTTGGAGTGCGCTTCCAAGATGTGCTAGAGCTGTTAGCCAGTTAGTTGTAGAACGTCAGCACCATCGGTCAGTGTCGTGCAATGTTATTGCACGAGCTGATTGTTTAGTAACTGGTGGTGTTAGTGGACATTAGGCCATGGTAAAAAATATCTTTGATTCTCAAGTACGCGCGCATCGATTTTTGGTGGCGCACCGACGATTTTTTTTATTTCTATGCATGCATATGCGTGCATGAAAACGGTCAATGCGAAAGGCATGAATCCGGGAGTAGTAAAATACCGGTATTTTTCTACTCCCTGGCCTGAATAATAAAATAATTATAAATAATTATGAACCTGTGACGTAGACATGTGTGACCCTATCTTTGGAAATAAAAAAAATTGTGGGAATTAAAATAAAAAATCGCTCGCTCGCACCGATTTTCACAGGCTCATGACCTGAGAATCAACTTTATTTTTTACCATGGCCTTATAGTGTAACTTGTAGTTCCTTGGTCCTTTTTCTTTTCTTTATTTAACTCCACCATAAGTACAGGCATTGCTGTCTTCTTGCTGTGCATCATCAATGATGCCACAGCTCCTAGGCTATGGTGAAAGGATGACGTGGTATGATAAATTAATGTGATCAAGTATGAGCAGTATGGGAAATAATTATTTTATTTTTTATTATCTTTATTCTCACGGTGGCCGTAGCCAATAAGAGAGAGACAGAACTATGTGTTATCAATCAGAGTGGGTGCAATAAACCGGGAGAAACGGTGGCTAGTGGCAGGCGTGGTTTGGGTGCTTCATTTAAGTAAAGACGAAGAAGGAAGTATATCCATTGCGAAGGCTGGTTATAATAAGATGTCATGACTCATGACTGTAAGCAGTTACATTGTGTGTAGCCATTGGGCACCTGTTTGCCTTCTAGGGGTTCCGTTCTGAACTTTTAGCGTTTTTGGACTCACTCCATTGAATCATAAGAGAAAACGCGGCTTGTTGACTGACAATGGCTTTGTTCAGTTACTATTCAGTATTCACTCCCAGTCAAAGCGCCGAGGTACTTGGAAAGTTGTTTCTGGAGTTGTAAAATTACGACGTTCAGACCAGTTAGTACCCAGAATGTACCGAGTGGGAATTGTATAGAGCCGCTGTCAGTTTGTAAGCGCTGTTTTCGTTTGTCCATTCGCACGCCGTCGAATGTAATTCGCCGTGTCATTTGACGTGTAACTGTGACTCGCATCGCGCCCCTTGACCGATGTTCGTTTCAGGGACCGCAAAAAAACATTCTGTGACAGCCCCTGAGCCGTTTAAGCTATTCTTGTCGTCTTTTCCCAATTGTCTCTGTGGATACTGGTAAAATGGGTGTACATAAGTGCTGATCTGTCCTGAAAAAAAGAGGCCCACCCTTCAGGGAGGGCTGTGGGCAAGGTTTGTAGTCGAGTGTTGCTATGCTAACGGCGACTTTTGAACCAAGACTTCTGGGATTAACGCGGATGCTTGTCGTCGCATGTGTGTGCGTGTGTGTGTATGTATTATGTATGTGCACGTGTGCATGCCTGTCTGTGTGCATGCATGTGTGTGTGTGTGTGTGTGTATGCGTGTGTGTGTGTGTGCGTGCGTGCGTGTGAACTTGTGTGTGTTTGGCAACTATTCGCCGTGCTCGCACAGTCTCAGACGACCAACACAGGCGGTGCCAGTGGTGCCAGCTCACCACACGACGCGGCCAAGTCGTCGACTCTCTTCTGGACGTACAAGAAAGGCGTCCTTGCCGCCATGAAGGCGGAGACTGTGCGTGTGGAGAAGACCTGGCTGCTGAACGAAGAGGAGAGGCAGGGCCTGGCCAAACTTCTAGACGAGCTGACGGTGAGAACCCTGTTTGTGCACAACAGTACTACTGCAAAAACCTTATAAATAACAAAGTGCTAATTCTAACGAATTAACGAAGAGAATTCGGTCGTTAAAATAGAAAACTTTAGATAGAAATCAATACAGAATAGAACAACAAGGACAATCAAGGCTTGTTTGCTGCGACTTGAAGTTTCATGCTCTCGCAATCATCAGGCATGTTGCCTGATGGTTGCGAGAGCATGAAACTTGAAGTCGCAGCAAACAAGCCTTGATTGTCCTTGTTGTTCTATTCTGTATTACACTCTGCCTCCGCGGTGTTGAGCACTGTCAGCACACTGGGTACATCCTCCGATAGAAATCAATACATATTGTTGCTATTGAGCGTTGAGAATGAGTGAGAATCGTTACCTTTGGTACACGTAAACTGGTCAATTTTAGGAATTCGTTATACATGCGCCTCGTTTGAATAATGGCTTTTACAGTATCAGCCAACTGTTCGGCTTTCTGTGCACTATCTCTAGATCTGCCCTGCTTTTGCACACAATAAGCCCATTGCGCAATGACATGATTTGTACCGTCAACACCCGCCGCACACAGCCACCCGGGAATGGTCGTCTGAGTTGGTTGAACAGTGCATTCCTGATCCCAGTGTACTAACAGTTCATATTTTCAGTATGAACTGTTAGCTTATCGACCTACCGTTGCCAAAGGGTTAACCCTTTGTGACCCCATCGATTGATATCGATCGATTGTACAGTGACACTAAAAAAGGTGTATCTCTGATGTTCCTTCACCGATTTTCATAAACGAAGCATCTACGTTTCGAGAAGAACCTTGGCTATCACGTCGAAGTTATCCGAAGTCTCTAGGGGGTACAATGCCGCTGTGGGGAGCCTCGAAGTCGAAGAAAAACTGAAAATGCACTCCGATCGAAAATTTCAAATTTTCACGCTGCACTTGGCGGGGAATTCCCCCGGAATGCTACGTCATACTCAAGCATGCTGCACACCAAACTTTTGTGCTTGAAGCGAGCTTTCCGCTGTAGTTTGTTTGAAGTCGATGTGATAAAGGAGAATGGAACGGCGGCTGTTTGAACTTTGCTGAAGCTGTTCGCGCACGGCTGCTGTTTTGAGCGGCATTCTAGGCCACACAGAGCAGAGGCCGCGCAGGTAGCTGGCTTGAGTGTGGTATTAGTCGTTTCGTCTTGGAAATACCTTTCCAACGGTGGCTGGTTTGTGAAAATCGTTGAATGTTTGGTGAGATACAAGCGAAAGTGCATGTTATTTGAAATTGAGTAAATTGTCGTACTTTCAGTGGGTAACAAAGGGTTAAAAGTTAATGGGAGTTCACCCGAAATTGAAAACTTCACAGCTCGTAGCGAAAGATGCACTGATTCCAATGGTGAAGGTCCCAGGTTGATCGGAGCAGCCGTTCCCCGAGATATACCTGCTTGAAGTTTGCACTGAGTTTGGTGAGATCATGATGACGTCATTAACTTCCCCAGACTAGGCCAGATTCATGACGTCAGAGAGATAGACTTTGTACGCGAGTAAATGGGGGAAAAACCAATTTCTTTCTTGTTTCCCTGCAACAACGAACTTCATGCCAGAATTTGTTTCCAGTCGGAATACCAGTAGGGTGCCATGTGTCCCATACTGAAGATTTAAAAAACTTCTTTGTGACAATAGAGAGGTTCCGCACTACGTATTTACTAGTACTGTATTGTGCTACC